TCAGCCTTGGTGTGTGTTGATTATCTTTTCCCTGGAAAGTTTATTTTTCTGATTATTTGCATGCTTGATAATTTTCTATCATATTCTGGTCATTTGTAATATCATAAGACTCTTGGTTTCGTATGAATCCTACATATAATGTTGGTATTTTTGTTGTAAGAGGCAGTCAACCTGGCTGGATTTAGTTACTTTGTAAGTTCTGACCAGCCTTCAATATTTGTTGTTTCAAAGCCTTTGCAGTCCTCTTAAAATCAGTCCTTTTGTGTACCACTCACCAGCCAGTTTGGGAACTGGCAGTGCCTAATTCTTACATCAGTTCTCAAAGCCCGTGGTTTAGGGTCAGATCCACATGTGCACAGGCGGGGAAGTAGCTCACCTGAACAGGTGAATCCAGAAATTTGTAAGCAGCGTTTGGGTTTCTCCACAAACTCCTCTTCCTCCACTGCCTTCTTGGCACTTTTTAGTTCTCAGGGCTCCCTCATCAGTCCCCTGGACAGAGGCTGGGGCTTTACCCCACTCCGCTAAACTCTTCCTGTTACTAAGCCTCAATCTGGGCCCAAGCAGCAAAAGCAGAGAGGTTCTGCCCACCTCTTAGAGGGAGCACACCTCTTCTTACCAAAAAGGGGCCATGTCCTCCTCACTGGTTCGGGCTCCTGTGGCCCTGTTGTCACCCACACCACAGGATTGCTTAGGGAGGAGCTGAGGTTCAAGGGCTCAGAGATAATACCAAAAAGAGATGATTCCTCACTCGCTCTGAACAGAGTTGTCTCATTTCATTTTCTGCTGCTCTAACAATACCACGGTCTGGGTAACTGATAAGAATAGGAATGTATTGGGCTCATCGTTCTGGAGGCTGAGAAGTCCAAGGGCCTGGCACCAGCATCTGCCAAGAGCCATCCCACGATGAAAGGCATCCCATGGCAAGCAAATGTGCAGGACAGGAAGACAGGGGCCCGGGTCCCTCCATAACCAGTTCCAGCAATAACCACATTCACCAGTTCCTGAGGGAGGGGCCCTCGTGACCTCATCACCTCTTAACACTGTGACAGTGGCAGTTGTTTTCAACACTGGAACACATTTAAACCATAGCAGTAGGAGATGCTCTTCCTTCCTCAGAGTGGACTAGAGCCCTGAGGGTGCTCCACGTCTCTGCCAGGCTCTGCCTCCAGGGCTCAGGCTCTAGTGAGTTCAGGCTGAGGACAACAGAGGGATCATCCGGCCAGCCCATTCATCGTTTCTGTGGTACTTGAAATTCTTATCTTCTTTCCAAGGCTGCCCACTGCTCCTGCCTCTTCCCAGCCCTTACACAGCTGCTCTGTGCCTTCTGCCCAAGTTTTATAAAGACATTCAGTAGAAGAAACAAGTCTAAAGTGCTTGCTTCATTTTACCTGGAACCAGAATCCCTATTTCCCTCCATCTTAGTGTCTCAGGTTAAGTTATTCTGGCTGCTTTTGATAACCAGGCAGCATTAGGTCACATAACTGTGACTTGTACCAGAGTCACCAGCTCCCGGGGATCCGCCTTCCAGGCTTGTGGCTGCTGTACAGGGACATCGCGCAGGAGCTGGGGCCCTGCTTTTTCCTGCTTTTTCTTGTTCTCTGTTGGCCATGGCTCCAGCACAGCTACTGAGATTCTCCCCAGGCACTCCCAGCCGGTAGCACCTGTGCACGTGGGCCTGAGGGTGCCCCTGCTAGCTGCAGCCTGGCCAAGGAAAAGTGCCACAACCCGAAGGCCACCGCTTTCCCCAGGAGGCCACAGGGACCTTGACAGGTCACCACCCAGGGAGCCTGGTGGTTGAGGGAAAGAAGACTCCTCCCCTAGAACCTGGGGGTGGTCTGCCTTCCAGGGAAGAGCCCCTCAGTGCTTATCTAAGCCCTGACCTCAGCAAGGACCAGCTACCCGGCCAGCCCTGCTGTCGCCTATGCTCTAAGCCTGGCCGTGTGCAGTTGAGGCACAGATGTGTTTGTTGAGGTGGCTCTTAGGAGATTTATCACACAGGAGAGATGGACACCCAGGATAAGGACCTGATTAGTCTGAGCTCCGCAGTGGCAGAGCCAGGCTGGTCCCATCTGTGTCCTCCTGCCATGCTCTGGTGTGTGCCGTCTTCCTTATTAGACCTGGGTTTGGCAGAGTTGGTCCAAGTTCATGCGTCTGCCTTGCTCGGAGCCATGAGCTCCACTCCTGTGGCGTGGCATGAAAACACCTTGCATAAAAACCCAGTGTCGGTGACCAGCATCAGAAAAGGGCATCCAGACCCTTGGCAGAGGATGCACAGTGCAGGCAGAGGGTGTACAGACTGTCTTCTCTGGGTGAGGCAGTTACAGTGCGTGCATTTAAATAGCCGCCCAATCAGAAATGAAAATAGCCACGTCCCTCAGATGCAGGGACTCCAAGACACTGGTCCTCTCGCTTGACCCCAGCTGCAAAAACCCAGCCCAAGGTACCCAGGACCACAGGACAGGCAGGAGGAAGGAGAGTTTGAGAAGGAAACAAGGAAGGTGGAGAGGAGAGAGAGAAAAAAACATCCAGAATGTTCTGTGTCACAGAGCCCCAAGGCGTCCGGCCTGCTCTCTGGGGTGGCCCATGGTGAGAGAGAGAAAGCCACTGTTTTAATGGCTGCCCATTTGGGCCACTTGAAGTGATTGTGCCAGAACTTCTGTTTTCCACGTGCGTTAATGTTTATGCGTGGATTTTAGTAGATTACAGAATGATGCTTCACAGAAAGGGTTCCTCTTCAGGAACAGTTATCGTTCGGCCGTGCAGTTTTGCACAGGCTAGGGTTAGAGGCACTGTGGTCTTTGAGAGCTGCTTCAACTAATGACTGCGTTTCTTCGCTGCAGGGTAAACTGAGTTTTCAGATGCGTTTGTAAAATCATGTGCCTGATTGCTAAATACTGCATTGTTTGAGCTGTACTTCCCCACGTTGCCTGGTACGGACCAGTTAAGAAATGGTTTCCCATGAGAAACTGAAAAGGAAGCTGAACATGTTTGATAAACTCTGTGCTCATCTATGGACATGTAATTGTTTTATTATACGATACTTTTACACTTGGAAAGAAAGGTGCTCCGTGATTTGGCAGCAATTTGTCAGAGCAGCACTGGAGGCTGGCGCTCAGATGAGCCCTTGGAACCGTGCCATTGTTTCTCGGAACTGCTCTGCGCTCCAGCGAGGTGCGCGCACACCTCCCTCATTTCATTCCTGCAAGTTCAGTAAAGTTCCAGGCCGTTCTCCCAGAAAACCCAGGCAGCATCCTCTCCCTGGGTCAAAGGCACGGAAACCAAAGCCACCAAGCCTGTGTTCTCCGCGAAGTCAGGAAATTGGCCTCTGCTGCTTGTGGTATCGAAGGGCTGCTTTCATTGTTTCTTTTCCAAGACAGCTGTCCCTGAAATCTCTTTTCCTCCAAGTCAGCACCCGGCTACCTCGCTTTTATTTTCTTTTTTCAAAGTTAGGCATAGCAACAACAGCAACCATAATAATGATTAACAGTTTGATTTCAAAATGCTTTCTAAAGAAATGACAATAAACAGAGTGCATTTGCCCAAGGAAACCTCCCCCCTCAGCCATCAGCCAGGAATACAACTGCATGTGCTAATGAACCCAAAGCTGTTAATGTGGTTTCTTCAGTTAAATTGATTCATGAATTTTGAAGAGAACATTATCTAATGAATTTTCTTTGAATAGAAAGCAATTAAAAGGACAAATCAGTCTGATTAACCCCAAAGTCACCCTCCTGCCACAAATGGTGTACAGTTTGAAATTATATCATAAAAAACTAGAGCACATTTGCTATCTTTTTGCCCTCTACTAATCCATGTAAATTAATGAACAACAAAGTTAATTTCTTTGATGACCCTTTTCTAGTATCACCTGGATTATGCTGATGTTTAATTTGCTTAATGTTATAATAAAGACTAAACAGATTTTTTTTTCCCAGTGAAGTGATTATCGTTCCCTTCAGTTAAGAAGTGATTTTTATTATTTAACACACATGTAAGGGTGTGTTTCCTTTAAGAACCAAATCGCACTTTGCCAGCTTGGCACCAAGTGTAATTAGTGTTCTTATGGACACACTCAGAGCATCGTCCCTGCCCGAGGAAGCCTTCCCTTTGTTGCTGCTGTTCAGAAACTCCCGCCCCTGGAGGGCTGGAGCCCCTGCAACAGAGGACATGGCTCTGTTGGCCACGCAGCCCTGAGCGGCATGTCCCCCTTGGAAAGACAATAGGTACTGATTCAGGCAGCCCTTCTTGCATGCCAGGTTTCTCTCCTGCTGACCCCACTCCCAGGTAACAGTTCTGAAACCTGGAGGCAGACGGAGAGAATGCTCTCCTGCTGTTGCCTCCTCGTTCCTGCAGCAGGATGCAGCACAAATGCAGCTGGATGTGGTTAGTCAATTAAAATGGGAATCGGGTTATTTTATTTTTGCATCCCTATTCATTAAAGGTGCCTGAAGCCAAGGTCACTGCCAGCCCCTGCGTACCATGGCACTTGGCTCCACGCGTGGTAGCTGGGGGCAATCCTGTGCACGGCTGGATGTGGACAGCCAGCGTCATATCGCAGCCTGGCCTGTGGCCGCTTTTGCCTTCTTTGTCCCAGCTGAACTTGGAAATTAACCAGCAGTACAAAAGATTTCCAAGTAGGCAGGCAGGCAGGGACTTCCGGGCGTATTAATTGAGCCGTGCGCTCACTTACACGCCCCTAGTAGCTAGAAGGGCGGCACTTGCAACCTCGCACGGAACACAGGAGGTGGAAGGACGTTGCAGATCTGCGGTGCCCGCCCAGGGAATGCCTTCCGAGGGGCCAGCCGGCGTGATGGCCTGCGTCACACCCACGTCTCCTCGCCTGATGACATGGTGGCAGAGCAATGCGCGGAGGCCATGCTTTAATTGAGTATAACACCTCTATTTGTGTCGATGCGTTTCCTGTTCTGGGACTAGCAGCTGTTTATATCAGAGCTGCGGAAGCTGTTTGTCCAAATCTCATTCTGCATTCTTCCTTTCAGAGTCGTTCACCAGGCAGGTGTTATGTGAGCTGCTGAAGGCTGTGAAATTCGGAGAAGTGGTTTCCTACCAGCAATTAGCAGCCCTGGCAGGCAACCCCAAAGCCGCACGAGCAGTGGGAGGAGCGATGAGAAGCAACCCTGTGAGTTCTCATGGCGCGGGCATGGCTGCGGGTGGTGGGCGCGTGCAGGCAGCAGGGGGTCATCTGATGCCACATGTTTCCCCAGCAGGCCATGCTCCTGGGGTGGGCAGAGGGACAGCATCTGTGATGGGGACCATTGTGCCAGATGCCTCCAGAAGAGGCAAGGAGGCTGCCTGGGCACCACACTCCTGGAAGCCCCCTCCCTCCAGGAGCACATCTCCACCGCTTGAGCTTCTGGTTGTCACAGTGAGCAGGAGAAGAGGGACCCTGGCAGAGTGACAAGGCAGCAGAGGGGACCCCACTTGCTCACTCAGCGGGTGGAAGTGTTGGGTGCCTGTTTTATGATCCACACTCTTGGAGATGCCTGGAGTATAGCAGCAAACAAAACAGACAGAAAGGCCTCCCCGCAAGGCACCTCCGTCCTGGGAGGATGGTCAAGAAAGGGTGCACATCCAACCCCACCTCTCTGGGGCTGCACTCCCCCTGAGGCCCACGGCTCCCTGGGTCTCAAGAGCTACAGCCCCACACGTGAGCACGCGGGGCAGGAGGCCTTGCAGCATGGATGGTGGACCGCATGCATCTCGCGTCTCACTGGGGATGGCGCTCCCCGTGCCCCTAGAACCCTCCTGTGTCCTCATCCTTCCCGTGTGTCTGCAGTCAGGTTTCGCTGAGCTTGAGGCTTCCAGGTCGTGCTCCCCAGAGGACAAGGCCCAGCCGGGACACAGCGTGGTGGGCAGTGTGGCCTGTGGTACCTGGGGACATCAGGGGCGCCCTTGCTCTCCTGTCTCCCAATACCTGGGTCTAGCCCCTGGGTCACAGGCCACATAGCATGAGGAGGGAAGTTGCACACGGCCTGCCACGTGGGTGTGACCAAGGCCATGCATGCCTGTTGGGAGGGGCGGGCAGGAAGGGTACCCCCATCTGCATGGCCCACTGGGAGAACCCACGAAACCTCAAGAACACCCCTGGAACATTCACCCAGGGATGGTGCGTGGTCACACTACCAGTGCCTTCTCCTGAAAGCTCAGAGAGTTTCTAACGTGACAAAGCATGCTGATCAGGGAGCACAAATATGGTCACTTCATCGTGGGATGGAAATGACTAAATCAGAGTTTGAAAAATCACTGTGGCTTTGCTGTTGGTTTTCAAAACTACTTCCATCCCTGCTCACAGGGGAGAAGCCGGCGTGTTCCCACCACAGCCTGCTGCTCCTGCTGAGCACTGCAGCATCCCAGGGCACAGCCTCCTAGATGACAGTTACACGGGCTTTTGCACGAAACTGCGTTGTTTGTCCTTAAAAAGCAGCGCCTCTAGGTTTGCAGTGGATCACAGTGTCACCATGTACACCCTGATCTGGGCAAGCGTTCTGCCATATTAAAATATCCCAAATATCCCAGGAGCGAGATGCCACAGGGACAACTACCATCCCACCTCCTGCATCTCTTCCCGTCCTCAGGGTTGGTGACGTGGCTGGTGGGCACGGTTGGCCCTTCCTTTGGCACCTGTCACACGTTAATTGCAGCGTCTTCAGCTACATTGTCATAAAACATCTGCAGCACACAGTAGGGGTCTTATTTTTAGGGTGCATGAGCAATGTTACCGAATCAAGTTTCTGAGGATGGTTTTTGACGTTTCCCAATAAAGCTTAACCTCCATCCCCTCCGGAAGGCCGCCGTCTTCTCCCTGGTTGCGAGTCCATTTTGAGGCTTTCAGACGCTGTGGTGTTGCAGCTCCGTGTAAGGCCCATGAGGACTGTGGCTGCGAATGAGGTTTGGGGGTTCTCCTCCTGCATCACTGCAGTGCCTGCTTCAGGCCGTGTCTACTCTTCCTGCCCCTCCAGGAGAGTAAGTCATCGTCTTCTCCCCGCCGAGGTGGGTTCAGCTCTGTCCGTGCACACCCGTGGAGATGGGAGTGGCCCCATCAGTGGCCTCGACTCCACTCGCCGTCTCGCATGGGCAGCTCCCCGTTTGCTGGAAGGACAAGCTCCCCTAACTGGCGTGCAGCAGCGTGGTGACACCCTCCCCCAGCAGCCTTTCGTGAGGCCAGCAGTTTCTCACTCTGCAGTGGAGCTGCCGTAGCAATCCCGCTTGTGGCAATATTCAGAGACATTTATTGTTCTGCAAACCAGCGTGACTCTCTTCTCCTGCTATTAATCTCTATGAGTGTCTCTGTTCCAGTATGGCCTCAGTCACTGAAATGTATAAAGTAGTATCACACGGGGTGTCAAACCCTAATGTCCGACGAGTCCACACGTGGACACCCCATCACACGGCAGAGCCCAGACTGCAGGTGAGCCCAGCACCAGGTGGGACGTTCCACGGGCACCGGGTCGCGCCCTTCCCGGCGTCCACATCTCTCCTGTGCTGAGGGCAGCCAGGCGGTGGTGGCCTCCTGTGGCCTTGCTGTGGGCATCACTGTGGGCGGTGACCTTCACCCTGAGGAGGAAGCTGCAGCGGTACCCACAGATGCCTCAGAGTACGGCACAGACACACCAGAGATACTCCCGCAAGAAACCTTCACCTACGTAGTTTACTATGATTCAGGGTGACCCAGGGACTTGAGGGAGGAAGGGCCCTAGCCAGCGGTGAGCCATTGCTGTTGTTAAGTGTCCTCGGGAGTGTTTCCCTTTGGCACTGACAGCAGCGTCCCAGCCGGAAGGCTGCGCACATCCAGCCCAGACGGTGCATCGCTGAGACTCGCTCACTGAAATCCCTCATATTCAGGCTGAATAGAGCGATTGTGCATTTAAGGGAGGAGAGTGAAAAATGGACTTGGAGTGTTAAAAAAAAATCATAAAGCTCATTGTGCATTAATTCCTTAGGTGGCTTGCAATAAACAGGAGCACATGCTGGGTCATATTACTGCATTTGCTGTCGGCATGCGTTTCTCTTCCCCCACCAGAGTAAGGGATGGCTTTTGCTATGTGGGGCTTTCCTCCATCCTAGGAGCTTGATTTCTCCAGAGTTTTCCAGGAAGGACTCATCAGGTGGTGTAAGGTGGTTGGTCAGCATTCCTGGAAGGCTCTCCGCCCAGCCCAGCGGGAGAGGATGGCCAGTGTCCCGGTATATTAAGTAGAAGACTCCTCGTGGCCCACCCCCTCCACAAAGCACCCTTCCGCTTCATCCTCAGGCAGAATTTGCTAAATGCAGTTCAAAGGCAGTCGATGCATTACACAGAGTCTCCCACCTTTTTCTAAACAAATGCATTCCTGAGGAGCTAGTTTATTCACAGATTGCCACGAGCGTTAATGACCCCCGGAGTTGTGTTCTGCCAGTCACCCAGATGGCTACTGATAAAGACTTAGCATCATGTTCGAAGTGTCAGGGTTGTCAGTGGAGCTGAACCATTTGACCAGAAGAAAAAAACGCACAGGGAGCTATTGATTACAGCTTCTCGGTGTCACTTGTTCACCAGGATTTAGGTATTGATGAGGCTGCGATTGAAAACAAGCTCTTTCCCTTGTGGGCTGCTACCCAGAAGAACAAAGGCGAAGTTGGAAGAAATATTCAGCCGGCACCCGAATCAGAGGGATTCCATTATTGATTGAAAGGCCCCTTCATGTTATTTTTGTTGGAAACAAATCTATGGGTTTGGAAGTTTTATAGCATTTGAGAAAGGGGCTGCATAAGTGATGGATTCATGTATTGGATGAATTAGATTTCACAGCATGAAGATTTCAATGCAGCTGTGATATTATGAGCTTCTTGGTTATTGATAAAAATTACATTTTATGCAGCACATGCTTTAAAAGAGAGGGCATAGAGGGTACGGATCCTTTGAAAATGGCCTTAGGGCCCCGATAAATTTCAGCAGCTTTCATTATTTTAATAGTCTGAAACCTACCACCAAAATTAACACAAGCAGAAGCAGCTTTCCCTGTTTCTAATGGCAAAACAGTGCGTATGTGGTAAGTCACCTCTTCCCCGTCACAGCATGCTAAGGTGAGGACAGGCCATAGCTGTCGGGGTCATGGTCATTCCATGCCGTCTGTCCTGGCCTCTGCATTGATATATAGGAAGAGGGCGAGGGAGGCATGTTTATTTTACTCATTGTTATAATTTCATAGCTCACTGAGAGGAGAGAAGAAAAATCAAAGCTCTGTTGCAAAATCTACTATTAGGTAGGAAAATGGAATCGGTGCCTAAATATTTATAAACCTAGATTGAATTAAATGCCTACCTCTTTATCAGTCAAAAACATGAATTGTTTATTATCTAATAATGCCTTCACGGCAATTATTAATGGGACTGTTGTATTTGATAAAAATCGTCAGTCAGGGTAAATATTCTATCCTGGAGATTTCCTGTGACTTATTCCGGAAGGCTGGGATTCTCTGCCGTTCAGGACTTACGAGTTACTATACTTCACTCTGTTAAACTCGATGCCGAAAACAGTCACAGCTCTCCGCCACCCGCCTTTCCCATAGCATCGTCAGAAGCCTCTTCAGCTGCATCATTGGTGCACGTTTCCGTGGTGACCCAAACTCTGGTCAAATCAGGACCAGCGCTGTGATGTGCGGGAAGCCAGAGCCCTGCCTTGCAGCCACGTCATCTGCTGGCCCCGGCTGGCACCCTACAAGGTCCACCTCCACAGTCCACGTCAAGGAGGAGCTCTGATGGAACCATGCAGGAGAGTGGTTAGAGCCCCGCCTTTGCCACTTAGCAGCCTTATGAACTTGGGTGTGAGACTCCATTCAGCCGGAGGCTGACAGGCCTGGCAGAGCCTGTTGGGGTGATAGGGGTCCCAGGATGGGGTAGAAGATGCAGCAGCATCAGGCACTGGTGGGCACACCTGCTCCCAGGGGCTTTAAGCGCCCTTTCCAAGGCGGGGCTGGGGCTTCCCCCACCTCCCTCGGGGACGTGTGTAGCTGGGCCCTACAGAGGGCCACACCTACCAGGTAAATTCTGTGGCAGGTACCTGTTCGGCAGTGACACAAGCTGCCTGCCCCCAAAGCCTTGGGGGGTGCAAGGGCAGGAATCACCTCCCCAAAAAGCAGAGCTTGGAGACGCCGGGCACACGCCCCCAGCTGCTTCCTCCGAGAGCTCACCTGGCCAGTCACTGCTTGCTTTGTGTAGTTCACTGGCTTTGGAGGGTGGAGTGTGGGGGAGCTGGGCGTGGGCGGAAATCATCTCTCTGTTGAGCTGGAGATACGTGGAGAGAAAAAGAAGAGCAGAGCCAGAGTGATACCCAGGGGTGCCGGAGTCATACCCAGGGGTGCCGGAGTGATTCCCAGGGGTAGCCTGAGCATGCCACGTCCTTGGGATCCTGCAGGAATGGCTGGTTTTCCTCATCAGGGCAGGACACTGGGAGCAGGGCAGCCGTGTGTGAAGCCTGGGGAGAGGCCCCAGGTCAGCATCCGTGTCTGGGCCGTCTGGGGTGCTGGGACGAGTGGTCTGCCCTCCAGCTCAGGATGCAGGGAGGAAGAGGGACCAGGCAGTGAGCGGTCCGGTCCCTAGACTTCTCCCATTCGCCTTCCACATGTCGTGCCGGCCAAAAACTTTCCAGAGTGAGCTTGGTGCCCTTCCCCATTTCCCTGGAGCCTGCGCTGCTTCTGGTCATGGTGCTTACTGGCAGCTTATGTTCTTCACGGAGCAGCCACTGTGATGCTTTGCACAATGATGAGGCATGCCCCCCACATCCACTGAGATGTCCTGGCCACTTTGTGGCTGCCCACCCAGGCCCCTGCTCCTCGGGCACCATGAGCTACTTAGGGATGAAGGCAGTTGCCCGGGGAGGGGGGCTCTCCGGCCCATTCTTTCCTTAGAAAGCTGCGTGAGACTTCTCCACACGCTCCTGGTGCGAGACTTCCCCATGCGCTCCTGGCGGGAGACGGCCCCATGCGCTCCTGGTGCGGAACTGCCCCACACGCTCCTGGTGGGGGACTGCCCCACTCACCCATGGTGGGAGACTTCCCCACGCACTCCTGGTGTGAGACGGCCCCACGTGCTCCTGGTGGGAGACTGCCCTGTGCACTCCTGGTAAGCCATCCAGGAGTAGCTCATCACATAACCTTTGTCGGGATGCTTAAGCAAATGGCCTTTGAGCCCTTGGCATCCCCTGTGGTGGGCATGCAGGCTGTGTGGCCATCTCTGGCTGCCCAGGCAGAGGGAGACAACCAGAGAGATGCCCATATGTTACATTCCTGTCTTCCGCCTTTCTGAGCCAACTGAGAAATGGATAGCAGACCTCAAGATTTTAGCTTTGTTAGGATAAAAGCAAGATTGAAGGCGGGGGCAGGGGCATAGCCCTGGTGGCTTTCCAGTAATTCCCGCAAGAATCACACGCCTCATCACTGTTCCCGCTGGCTAGGCTCAGGTCTCCCCAACCAGGGCAGGGGCTGAGCATCTCAGAAGAGACCAGGGTGCCCCAACCATGGGGCCAGCGGGTCACCTGCAGGAGCCCTACAGTGCTAAGCTGGGCATACCTTCTCTTCCTCCCTTATCGGTGGTCAGTCGCTCTTCTCCGTTGTGGGAGTGAGAGCGGAGGCGTCCAGGAGCTGCATGGAAACCAGAGGAGGGGCCGCAGCAGCTGCTGCCACCCCCACCCAACACAGGTGGCTGTCGGAGCTTCAGGTGGTCAGTAGACCCACGGAGCTCCTCCCGTCTACACAGCTCAGGCAACACCAAAGGTCAAAGACCAAGTTTCCCTGAGGACTGTGCTGAAAGAGGAGCCCACCCCTCTAGAGGGAATGGGGATTCCTTCCCCTGGGAGGACTGGCCACAAAGAAGCAGTTGGCAGGCAGGACCCGGGGCCTGTGTGCGGCCGTGTGGTTGTGGTCCTAAATCTGGATCAGCCCTGTCAGCACAGGGCATCCTGATCTCAGGTCAGCCACAGGTCCGGGTCATGCCAACTCCAGGCTCAGAAATAACACGTTGATGCTGCCAGAGGCCCCAAGAGGCCGCAGCCAGGGCCCTGTCCCTGGGGGTGCAGGAGCCCTGAGGAAGGCACCGCCTGCAGCTGGTCTCCGTGCCCTCACCCTTTCACGGTGCTGCCAGCCCTGGCCTCACGTGTGGGATGAGGACGGCAGCATTTTGGGCTGCTGGTGAGTTTGGTGAATGTGGAGATGGCACCTTGAAAGCTATCACTCCCTTGGGTCCCTTCATGAAGCGCTTTTGCTCACTGCTTCCTCTGGTTGAGTGGGTATTGTTTTCCTTGTGACATGAGCTTGCTTTTTGAAGCCCCTCTGCTAGTTTAAGACAGGTGTGTCCTCAGCATAACTCTCGGCTGAAGGGCTGGACAATAGCTGTCTTCCTGAGCCCCTGAGTGGGGAGGCTGCCCGCAGCAGCCTGTGGGATCCCAGCTGGTATCCAGGGGAGGAACTGGCCATGCCCTGCCCCCGGTGGGGATGGCTAGGGAGCTTCTCAGACCCCTACAGGCACCCCAAGACTAAGGAGGGAGACACATCCCTGCTCCCGGGACAGCGTGAGGCAGGGGTTGGCCAGGTCGTCCTTTTAAGGGCCAGAGAGTAAATATGTCAGGCTTGGCAAAGCAGCCACAGCCAATATGGAGAAAAAGGCGTGACTGAGTTCTAGTAAAACTTCATTTACAAAAGCAGGTGGTGGGCTGCACGGGCCCACAGCCACGGTTGGCTGGCCGCGGGCTGGAGAGGCCTGTGCAGGTCCGGTCTTCCTGCACTTCCCGTGATACCTGGGTGACGTCTGGGGAGGGTTGAAAGCGTCACGTACGGCCAGAACTCGGAGATGTAGTTTTCGGTTTTGTAAGTGAACGTTGTAAATTACTCACCGGATGAAATGAAGTTTTCTCCTCCCAAATCTTGGCACAAAGTGATTCTCTGAAGATGCCCACATCACCTCAGCGCATGCATCCCTCCTCCAGCCATGCCGAGACCCCCAGGGACTCAAGGGCCTCAGGAGAGTAGGAGTTAATGCTGAGACACAGCTGGCACCCACCCATGCCAACAACCTGGGCCCAACACGGGCCCCTGCTTGGAGGGCACAGGGCCCCTGGCAGTCAGGGCTTTGACCTTGTCCCCAAAGACCTCATTGGCCAGATCCCTAAACGACGGTGGGTCTCCCCCTGTTTTCCAGGTCCCCGTCCTCATCCCGTGCCACAGAGTGGTCTGCAGCAGCGGAGCCGTGGGCAACTACTCCGGAGGACTGGCGGTGAAGGAATGGCTTCTGGCCCACGAAGGCCACCGGGTGGGGAAGCCAGCCTTGGGAGGGAGCTCGGGTCGGGCAGGGGCCTGGCTCAGGGCAGTGGGGCCCACCTCGGGCTCCCCGCCTGCTGGCCCCAAATGAGTGACGCTGGAGCGACCCACACATGTAACACTGCGTCGGACGTAGGGTGTGGGGACGCAGCTGTATTAAAGGAGGTGACTGTTTCCTGGGGAACGAGCGTGTCTGCCCTGTTTCCACGTTTTCCGGCATCGTGAGTTCAAAGGCACGCGGGTGTGCATACGTGCGTTTCCTTCCCTAACGCTGCCGTTGCTGTTTTTCTTGTCCATTAAAACAGGCTGAGTGGGGAAGGCCTGGCCTGTGTTGGGGCCACAGCCCACCCACAGGCCACAGACAACTGCCACAGCCGCTGTCCGAGGCCAGCTTCGGCCCACCCCAGGCCGTCCACACTAGACAGCCAGCCCCGCCCCGGCACATCCCCGCCATGCTGCCTTCCTGGCTGTGTCCACGCTGTGACGGCATTTCCCACTCACAGTTCCTCACGTCCCACACTCAGGTCTCCCTGAAGGAAAGGGGAGCAGGACTTGGAAGTCGACGCCTGTAGAGGTTTTATAGCTTTGTTTTCCACCTGCCAGGAAGGCTAACGCAAGAGACATCCGCTTACGATCTGTATCGGGTGGGTAGAAAACAACCACATGCCAAGATCTGGGGAGACAGAGGCTCTCTGGACACGGGTTCAGTGGAGCTTGCACCTCTCTGAGAGCTTATCTCACCCTCCCTCCGCATGGCCTGGCCTAGTGTGACCCGGGCAGCACGTCGGAAGGGACCCCGGGGCCGCCCTAAAGGGGCCTCAGGGACCAGGGGCCTGTTAGGACCCCAGCACCCCAGTGTCGATCCTGGAAGTCAAAGGTCACGACTCTGGTGGGCCAGCTCATGCCACCGATGGCAGCAGGGACAGTTTCCGGCGTTGGCCGTGTGCTGCGGTCTGATACCTCATTCTCACGTTGTCCTTCTAGCTGTGTAACTGACGAACTCCCAAAGCCTGAAGGGAAACCTGGCGCCCTGGAGGTGGATGAATAAAACAGAGCATGTGATGTATAGAGAAAGAACCCACACCCACCTGGGCCCCGGAGTGCCGGGTTCTCATCCAGCATTCTTTGCCACGGTGTGGACCACAGCAGGAAGCTGGTGCGGTTCTGTACGTCGCCAAGGCCTGGCTGAAAGCGTGGCCTCGCGAGGAATGTTGGGACCTGCCTTGTATGTCAGGTTGTCTTAACACCAACAAAAGAAATCAGATTTCAGGCTTTTCTCACCGATTTATGGTTCATCATATCCCTTTCTGGCATCAGTCAAATTCTGGGTTTTTCCTATGACATGCAGTCACGTGACTCACCCCACTCTCTTCACTCTTGATGTTTTTGAAGCAGCGGAAGTCACACGGCAGGTCATGCAGACACGTGCTGTTTCGTGGGATGGGCCCCTGGGCCTCCTTGCTCCAGGCAGGCCTTGGGTACTGCACACCGTGTGTCACCATCAGGACTCACAGGCTGTCTGGTCATTTTTGACATTGCCGCAGGTGAGTGGGAATAGTTGGGTGCCGTCTGCCCCAGGGATGGTGCCTGCGTCCCCCACAGAGGATGTCCCTTTCCAGTGATGGCAGGTCACCAGGCCCAGCTTTTCCCTCTGCGTGAACAGAACAGAAGCTTCTGGCTCTCCAAGGCAGCAGCTTGCGGCCTGGTGGCCCTGGTGTGCGAGCCGTGAGTGCTTTCCAACAGAGGGCACCAGAGCTGTGCGGTGTGCCGTGGAGACCCCGGCACCACTTCCCTGCTTCAGGATGGAATTGAAGGAGGGCCACCCGGCGGCACCCCAGTGGATGTCTCCCCTGCACCCTGAGACCCTGCAGGCTGCCCCCTGCCGCCACACGCCCACTGGCAGACACCCATGCTGCGTGCAGCCTGCCTCCGCTGTTTGGGTCCCATGAACGATGGGAGCCTCCCAGTGAGATCTCCAGGTCCCTAAGCAGACACAGGCTCAGAGGGAGAGTCCTGGGGCCACATGACTGCAGACAGCGAGGGCTGAGCCCCCAGACCCAGATCAGCTCCTGGCAGCAGGGGACCCGCCCGTCAAAGCCGTCCAGGGTGAGCCAGCAGCTCCATGTGGCCTGGGAGCTCACGCGGGCCTGTCTGGGCCGCACCCTCAGTGCAGCACAAAGCCACCTTCTGCGTCCTCTCCCAGGTTTCCGCGGCGCTGTAGCACAGGCTCGATAGATGCTCCGAGGTTCCTCTGATAGCCGCAGCAGCGGGGCGCAGACCGGCGGGGCCAGGCACCGCTCCAAGGACAAGCTCTGCGGAGGCCGACATGAAGAGCCGGCGCATGGGTCGCCTAGAGCCACTCTGGCTCCAAGCTGCGGCGCGGCTCCTGAAGATACAGAGGGAGAGGGCAGGCACAAAGAAATTCAAAAATATTTTCCAAATAAAAAGAAATGTCGAAACAAGAAAGCTGTGTTCTTCGGCCTTGGCCCCGGGTCCCCTCACCCTGTTGTGTCCCCAGCCCCTGATGCTTTGAAGGCTGACATCGAGACCCACTGCGACGCAACAGCCACCTCGCAGCTGCTCAGACCCACGGCGCCGGGCTCACCGGCTTCTAGAGAGAATGAGAGTGAAGAATAGTGTGTGTTTTTGCGGAACCACACTGGGAACAAAACAGTCGCCCTTGGCCACGCAGGAGACTGGGTTTTGTGGGGGGTTGTCCTCCCAGTCTCTCTTCCCATTGGGAACAGAAGGGTCCAGTAAAGCCACCCACATTCCACGTGTCCTGTGGCCGCCTCCAGTGGTGAGTCCATGAGGCCAAAGAAGAGAAGCTGTGACCGTGCAGACGCGCCCATTAGGGTGTTGGCGAACGCGGAATCGGGCAGCTGGAAGAGCGCTCACCTGAGGATTTGCGGACCTTCTTATGGGCGCGAATTTGCACTTCCAGATGTGAAGGTTGCAGGCTAGGGCGTTGCAGAGGAAGCAGGCAAGCTCACCTTACAGGGAACTTAATTGGGGTTTGTAATTCGTGTTCACTCTTTACCCAGCAGAAACAGCTTACTGAATACCCCGCCAGTGGCTGGATAACATGCCAGCGACTGAAACCATCTGTGAGACCTGAGTGTCTCTGGTGCCCGGCGCCCCACGTGCCTCTCCAGAATCCCATTTGTAGGCTCCAAGCAAGTCCAGTATAGATAGGTTTGCACTGGCATCATCAGTTTTGTTTCTTAAATAGTTTGTAAACAGCAGTATTACTCTGGAACCTATTTCCTACAAAACTGTAAGATAAAAATAAAATCCCCTAAACCCAAATGGCTTAGAAACCTGAGTGGTGGTGTGACTCACTGAAGCCTGTGGAGTGCTGGACTCTGGGGAGTATTCTCGAAGCAATGTGAAGTGTCCTCCTCGCAGAAATGCATTTACGGATCTGTCTGGCTGTAACCCCTTACCTGGCTACAAGGACAGAACAGCTCCGGGGGCCATGTCCCCTCCCCGTCTCATCTGCCACTTGCCCACCTTGGCTGTCCATGCAGCCGCAGCGGTGACCATGGGCAGTGGTGCCAGCTTGGACTTCACCCATAGGAGCGGGCAGGATGTCACACTGAGCTGACGTGAGATTGTTCGTTACTGCCCATCTCCATGCTGTTTGGGGTTCTAACAGCACAGAGTAGGTGAAGTGAGAGATAAACTGGCTTCATGTAGGAACAAGAGGAAAAGTGTTTTATTTTACTAAGAAGATTTTACTGGAAGACCAATCTGGAAACGGCCCTTACTTCGGCCGCAGCTGCTGGGACATCCTGGGGCCTCGCCTGTCTGGTCTGCCTGTCTCCTTGCTGCTGTCAGGGCGGTGGGGTCCCCGGGAACAGTCCAAGACCCTGGGGTGGGGGATTTACAGCTTTTGGCTTCCCTCAGACCATATAGGGTTTTTTCTTTCTTTCTTTTTCATGGGCATTTGATTTAAAAGTTTTGTGTTTAAAGAGCTGAACTTCACACGAGTTTTACTTACCAGTTTGGAAGACATTGAGCTCTAAACATGACTGCCCAAGGCCTCTGCCAAGCAGCCCCGTCTGTCTGTCTGTCTGTCTGTCTGTCTGTCTGTCTGTCTGTCTGAAGAGACAGGAAGGTGGAGAAACTGCAGTTGCCGACCTGTCTCTAGGCCACTGAGGGCAGCCATCCAGCATCCTCGGGACCCCATGGCTCCAGCTGCTGACAGATGGGAAACGTCTGGCCTCCATCACCAGGTCACCTCGACAAGGATCTGTAATGGGGGCAGGGGCAGGGGTGGATGAGAAAGTAGGAAGTGGATGCTGGGCAGTGAGGTGTGAATTGACGGCAGAGCCCAGCCTGACAGCACCTTTGATTGATGAAAGGACATTGTTAACAAGCCTTTAAAGTTTCTCATTAATGTTTTTTTCATTGAAAAAAAAAAAGCCACCAGAAAAAAGTTCCACATGGACAGTAATTAAGATGGATCCCGTACAGTATGGTATCAATGTTGGGAGCCTTTAGGAGAAAATTACCCGCTCTCCTGTTAAAAACTTCTTTCAAGGCTGCCATTTTCTGGCCTTTCGAAAGTCCCTGGCAATGTGGGGACCTGGGTGGTCAGGCACATTCTGCAGGTGTGATGTGGTCAGCGGGTGCAGAGTGGAGACCCCAGCTTTCTTTGTCATGGACTCTGATGCAGTAGGGGAGGAAGAGCAGGGAAGGGTCTGTTGCCATGGAGGGGGCTGGAGTTCTCAGCTCCAAGTGGGTCCCAAGGAGCGCGGCTGAGCAGAGTGCACGTGATGTGCATGGTTCTCACCAGAGATGCTGCAGCGCTGGGGCGAGGGGACCATCTCTTCCCCTTGTTTCTGCATGGGGGCTGAGCCAGCCCCCTATTGTACACACAGCACTGCACACATGCACACCCAGGGGTTCTTTCCAAGTCTTCCAGGTACACATCACTGCTGGTCGGACCCTGAATACCAGTGGAATGCCTGCGTCCAGGCTGATTTGCTGACTTACATTAAGAAAACCCAGCTGGAGAAAGTATCAGGGTCTTAACGTTAAGCAACATGTGAGATTGTGCAAAAAGGAGTGCTTTTGTGTGTTGTGATTACCATGGCTGCAGGACAAGCGGATGCACGTGTGACACTTGGCAGGCAACAAGGAAGCCTGTGTGGAGCATGGAGCCCGGTCCTGACCAGGCTGGACTCTGCACGGTGGCCCTGGGGACTGGCAGTTGCCTCCCCTGAGCCCCTTGCTGGAGGCAAAAGTTAGCCCGACCAAGGGCTTCTTCCACCTGACCAGACGGGCCATCTGCCACCACACCCCAGGCTGGACTCCACCCTTTAGGGAACCTTGGGTCAGGTGAGAGAACCCCTGAGCCAGACCTGGGACGTTCTGGAACACTCTGGAGCCAGCTCTCCTGCAAGAGCTGTGGGCTGAGATTTGGCACCCCCATTCCAGAGAGAAGTTGGCCTGGCCATGACGGTGGAGCTCTGGAACAGGAGGCCCAGGGCCTGCACACCGTGCGTAGAGTGCCTCTCTCAGTGCTGATGGTGAAGCAGACCCTTGGGACAAAGGACCCTGTGCTCCCCAGCCCCCCAGGCCAGAGTCGGGTAGCTCTCGTCAGAATGCCCCACTCCAAGGTTTCATGGTCAGCTTCCTGGGCCCCCAGCAGGCCTTGGTCCGTCCCCCTCCGCCACACACAGGGTGGGCCTCCCTCACCCACAGGAGCCTGGGCGGGCGGCATTCCCACCACGCAAGGTCCCCCAGGGCACTAACTCGCCACCCTTTGGCTGCCGTTCTCCAGCATGCGGGAGTGGAGCACTGCCCCCGCTCCACAGTGGCCAGAGGTTTTGTAGTAACCCCAGCAGGGAGCCCACACCCTGTCCTGGCTTTAGGTTAGCAGAGCACGCGACCACCATGGGCTGCTCAGTACCTCCACCTCCCCGCAGACCGCCACACCTGGCAACACCGTCTGCGGAGGCCACAGTGACCTGAACTGGGGGAACGAGTACCTGGGGAAGTGTGGAGAGAAGCCCCTTCCCTAAGAACCTGCACAGTGAGCATGCTCTCGGGGTCCCCCCAAGGCCACTGGAGGAGACAGCCAAGCTCTGGTCACCCCAGATCTTTGGGGACCACTGCCTTCACTCTGACGTGGAAGGGCTGCGGTATGGGTCACCATGAGGGCTCAAGGAGCACGGAGTAGGGAGCAGCCATGGAAACCCAGTCCCCGGGCTCCTGCATCCACAGAGGCTGGCAGGGTGGTGGGAGAAAGCACCCAGAAGTGACAGGGAGGGGGACGAGGGCCTCAGTGCAGCTCTGATGTCCCGGCCGCGGCACTGGGCCCAGTTCAAGGTTTTGCAGCCTTCTGGGTGCCCTGCGTGGCTGGGTTTGGGGCCGGGACTGTGACCTGTGATGGCAGGTCCAGAGTATCTGAGGATACTCAATCCCGGAATCTTCCTGATCTCAGGATGTCAGGCCTGAGTGACCCGAACCAGGCCCAGAAGCCAGAGGAAATCCTGGTGTCTGTGGCCCTGCCTGAGTGTCGGACGCATTCCCGAGGCACACCTGGGCCTCCCTGCCCCACCTCCCAGGAGTGCCCTTCAGGATGCAGCCTGGACAGCATGTGCAGGTAAATCCAGAATGTTCACACGGGTACCAAGAAGGGCCATGGGCATGTCAGCTGCTGGTGCTTACAGACGTCCCTCTAATAAACGGTGACAATGTGGACAGCAGATGGGTTGGAGGATGCTGTGGTCTGGGCCTGGCAGAGGTTGGAGCTGGTAGCCCACAGATGGGCTGGTTCTGTTCATCACCTTTTAATGATGGCATCTGTGGGGTGAGCATGTTTCTCTTGACCTTCCATTGTGACCCGCTCTGGGCCAAAACCCGAAGTGGTTCGGGCCTCCTCCCATTAGGTCTCCTGCCAGGACCTGCCTTGCTTCTAAGATAGAGGAACACCTTCCCCTGACTCCTGGCCCCTGGGAGGGCCAGGTCCTGCCACTCAGAGGTGAGGTCAGTGCAGGGACAGGGCGGTGAATACGGGCCTCCCTAACCCCACCTGCCAAGGGAGGTCCTTGGTGTTCTCATCTATGAAACGGCGATGGGGAGCTTGCCTTAGAAAAGCTGGAAGTAGCAAGAGACTTCAAAGATCTTTGAAAACTGCAAGGCACAAAAGAAATAGAACAAAGACCTCTCTAAGGCACATGCAAAGAAGTGTGCCCAGGGATGTCACCAAAGTTGTGTTACGCGAATAAATGGGATCAACCCCCTGACCCAGCAGTGAGGGACGGGATACATGCACTGGAAACGTTCAGTAGAATGGGCGTAATCTCAGCCTGTTTTATTCTAATGGGAAAGGCCCATCCCAATGGAGCGGTAAGGAAGAAGAGTTGATGCAAGACAGTGCATAAGGCACGTGCCCAGAAACGGGGTCAGAGCTCATCCCCCGTCTCTGGGTGAGGGGATTACAAGCAGTTTCCCTTCTGTATACCTGGCTTCGCGTGGGTGTGTATACAAACCCATGCCCACACACGTGCACTGTACACACTACCTAAGGACGGAGGAACGGGATGGAGGGAGGGAGGAATCTCCGTCTTTCCATTTCCGTTTTTATTTTAGATTCAGGGGAGGCATGTGCAGGTTTATACAAGGGTGTACTGCATGATGCCGAAGCTTGGGCTTCTATCGATCCTGTCACCCAGATGGTGAACATCTGTACCTAGTAGGGTGCTTTTCAGCCCTTTCCCCCGTCCCCTCCCTTTGGAGTCCCCAGTATCTCTTGTCCCCATCATTCTATCTGTGTATACCCAGGACTTAGCTCCCACTTCTGAGTCAGAACATGCAGTATGGGGATTTCTTGTATCCGTTTGCTTAGGATCATGGACTCCAGCTGCCTCCCTGTTGCAAATGGTTTTGTTCTTTCTTATGGCTGCGTAGTATTCCATGGTGTATATGTACCACACTTTCTTTATCCCGTCCGCTGTGGATGGACACCAGGTTTACTCCCTGTATTTGCATTGTCAATGGTGCTGTGATGAGCATAGGTGTGCATGTGTCTTTTCAGCTGAACAGATTATTTTCGTTTGAGTAGATACCCAGTGACAGATTGCTGGGTTGAATGGTAGTTCTGTCTCAAGTTCTCCGAGAAATCACCAAACTGCTTCCCACAGGGGCTGGAGCAATTTTCATGGAATCTCTGTTTTTAAAAAGAGAGCTCGGGTGAGAGGAAGCAGTGGTATTTATGCTACTCCCTACACGCAGCACAGATCTCCAGGACTTCGTGAGGAACACGGTTCTCTATTTGAAGAGACCACTTCCCAGGGAGGTTTATAAGAACAAATAGCTGTTAGTGTTCATTTACATTCTCAGGAAGACCCTGAGGAGAAGTGGTCTTTGAAGTGGTTGGTTCATAAGTTATTGACCGAGGGTCTAGGCTGGAGGAAGCTGTGCCTGGCCAGGTCCGTCGCTGTGTTCTCTGGAGGAGAGTTCTGATTTTGTTCAGATGTTACTCAAAAGGATGCTTGTAAGGCAGTGTCCAGAATGTAGACAGGAACTGGCATCTGTCCCCAGAGAGTGAGCACCACCCAGGATTGCTAACGCACTCTCATCCCAGGTGACACAGGAGCCTGTTTGTCTTACAGCTTTGATGATTTCAAATGGCCTGGGGTATGCAGGCATGATGGCAGGTTCATGGGGGCCGCAGAAACCTCTTGAGAAGAGACTCTATGTTGTCTCCGCACCAGCTATACATGGGTGGTATCAGGGATCGCACCACCACCTCTTTATCACATCTGTCCTTCCAGCAGCCCAGCTCAGGGGCCACAGAGGAAGCCACATCGGAGACGTGGCCCTTCTCTCCAGCACCAGCGCCCTCCCGTGGTCTAGGCGGCCCAGGATGTGTGGAGCTGGATGCCAGCGACTGGACCCTGAGGGTCCACAGTGGAGACCAACTGTACACATGGAGGTTTTGCACCTGCCTGGAGAAAACACTCAGCAAACGGGGGAAGGAGAGTCGGTTTTTCAATTTCAGTTTTGCAGGTTCTGCTTTGTTGTTGCTGCCATTGTTAGTGCTCTTGTTTCTGTGGAGAAAGAAACTGGAGGATTTCAGAAGCACAGAGAATGTGTTTGGTGGGGGATTCGGAGATCATCAGCCAGCCTCATTTACTCGTGCTTCGGAAAACAGCAATGGGCAAGCATTGCTCTAAACCCCTTGGCCACAAGGGCTGGTCCCAGCCCTATCGGAGCTGCTTGGGGTCCAGAATTTCCCAGCCCCCTCTCAGTTTTTCTGCCGGGTGCCAGACGAGCTGGGGCCAGATACTGGGAACTCTGACAGCCCTTAGTCTGTGCTGATTTCCTTTCCTGGGCCCCCTGAAGCCTGTCCTAGCTCAAGGCCCCCTCGTGGAGCTTCCTGGAGCTGGGAGCACACAAGCAGGAGGATCTCAAGGCCTGGGAGAGGGAAACAGACATACCAGAGGCACCAACTGGCACCTGCAGAGGGCAAGGCTGGTGGGTTTCAGGAATCCCTGAAGAAATGGAGAAAGCCCAGACGGCTGGGCAGTGCGGCCACCCTGCCGGTTACTAAAGCTGGCCCGATGAGGTTGGCGGACATTTCTCCTCCTCTTCTTCAGTGCTTTTTGTGAAAATGAAGCTTTCAGCCATGGGAGACGTGAAGCCCATGGGCACACAGGCCCCATCTGTGTCTGTACCAGTGACTTTCCACACTGCTGCTATCTGAGCGGACATGCAGACCTGGCAGGAGATTTTGCACACAGCACGCCTGCCGCCTTTGCCCCACCTGCAGATTGGGAGTGCCACACCCGTGTCCCCGGCTGGTGGTCCTCACCGCGCTCAGCAGCCCACAAGAAGCCATGGGTGGCAGGGGAACATAGACGGCCTGTTGTCAGCCACTTAAAGGGAAAATATGCTCAAAAATCAACAAAAAATTTTGATACATAATTTCATGAGAAAATCAAGTGATATGAGTCCCCCCATAGCACTGAGAAGACCTGAGTGTTGCATCATCCAGCAGCTGCTAAATCCCTTCCTCCCTCCTTAAGAAGGAAGCAACTTCAAAACACTCTTCTTATGTGCCTGACTTCAGAATTCCAAGAGGCTGGCATGCTGCATTTGCCCAGGACCCAGCCAGCTCCGGCTGCTCGGAAGCTCAGCGCCTTCCTCCTGCAGAGCTGCGAACTGCCTCCCGCCCTCGGGTGTGGTGTGAGTGCCTGTGACCCAGTTCCCAAACACATGAACCAACGTCTGGGCCTCGGTGTGACTTAAGACCAAGGGCTCAAGACGGCCCTGGGTGCATCAGTGTTGGGTGCTGAATTCCAGCACGTGGTCGAAAAAGCTGAGCATGGGCTCCGCTCGCTGCCGGAGAGAGGCGGCCGGCTCTTGCACCGTCTCCAGGCCAGGAGGACTCAGGCCAATCTGAGAACACTCATTTATTTGAAGCTGCTGCTGCTTTGAGGCACAGAATGACACATGTAAATATTGCAACACCAAGAGGTACGTAGCCGCCGGTACTTCTCCCAGCAAACATCTGACTTCTGTGCCAGGAAGCAATGTGGCAGGTATTCTGTAGTTTCAAGCAAATTGGTCTCAGATGTAGATGAACAGATTTTCACAAGGAAAGGATGGAAGTGTGTCATGTGCTAGGCCCAAGCCTGCCGGGGGCTGCGAGTTCATTGCTGCCGGCTAAGGACGGCAGCCACCATCTCCTCCGCGCTCTCTTCTCCTCTTCCCCTTTCTCCTCCAGGAAGGCTCCCCAGAAACTCCACTCCCTGAGCAGGTCCTCCGGCTTGCCTCGGCAGGCATGGACTTCCGTCATGCAGGTTCTGACCCCCAAGCTGCAGTGGAGCCACCGTGGCCTTCGGGTTTCAGTGCTTAGAGAGACAGTGCCACGTGTGTGCCCTACCTTTGCAGAAGCCCTGCCAGTGGGGAACCTTTGGCCCGTGGCAGTGGGGGATGGGGGATGGGGCAGTCATGCTCCGTTCAGGGTCAGAGTCCAGCTCCTCCGCTTTACAGGCAGCATCTTCTGTGAGCTGTGTAACCTCTCCATGCCTTGATTGAATGGGGGCCCTCAAAGAGAGAGTCCACATGAAATCCCTGGGCCCCGGGAATGTGATCTTACTTGTAAAAGGCTCTTTGCAGATACGATTAAGTTAAGGAGCTCAGGATGAGATCATGCTGGATTATCCCAGGGGAGTCCTAAACCCAATGACAAAAGCCTTGATGATAGACAGAAAAGGGCCAGGTACAGTGGCTTATGCGTGTGATCCTAATACTGTGGGATGCCAAGGCAGGAGGATCGCTTAAAGCCAGGAGATGAAACCAGCCTGGGCAACTTAGCAAGACCTTGTCTGTTAAAAAAAAAAAAAATTAAATTAAAGATTAGCCAGGCAGGTGGCACACACGTGTAGTCACAGCCACTCAGGAGGCTGAAGATGGAGGAGGGTCACTTGAGCCCAGGAGGTCAAGGCTGTAGTGAGGTATGATTACACCACTGCACCCCAGCCTGCAGGACAGAGCAAGACCCTATCTCCAAAAAAGTGAAAAGAAGACAGACACAGTGGAGAAAGCCACACAGAGACAGAGGCCGAGACGGGAGTGACACAGCCGCCAGCTGAGAAGCGCCTGGAGTCTGCAGCAGCTGGAGGAGGGAAAGGAGGCTTCTCCCTGGGGCCTTCGGAGGAGTCTGGCCCCGCCAACACCTTGATTGCAAACTTCTGGCCTCCAGAACTGAAGGAGAAGACATTGCTGCTGCGTTAATCCTCCCCCGGGGTGGGCGGAATTTGTTGCAGCAGCAGCCCCAGGAGCTGCAGCCACCTCACCTGCAGAACAGGGACAGCAGCGACCACCCTCAGGAGGCCGTGCCCAGGTCGCTGAAGGCGGCTCTTTGGTCTCCTGGCACGTGCCGAGCACCAGATGGTGGTGGCGGCTTCAGGTCCCATTTTCACATCAGGCAAGCCCAGGCTCCAGTCCCTACTTTCTAGCTGTGGGTCCCTCAGGGACGTATTTGCTCCCAAAAGCCACAGCTGCCTGACCCGAAGAAAGGCAGGCAGTGTCCATTCTACAGGGTCTTCTTTGGCTTTTAACGGAAAGTTCTTTCTGTTGCCCTTGCAACGTGCCTGTCATTTCGCAAGACAGGGGTAACGCCCTGGCCGCGGACTTCAGCAGCCTAGGCCTTCCCTGAAGGTTGGGGAATTTGGGTGGAAAGCTGTTGATACTGGAGGTTTGTAGGATTGTGGTATACACCTGGCATGGGTTTGTAACATCACAACCTGGGTCTTTGACAAACCTATAACTGCGTTTACAGCTCAAGGTGGTGACCCTACAAGACTGTGCCCTATGCCAGGGACACTCAGAAGAGGCTCTGACGACAAATGCCAGGGGCATTTATGAGCCACATTTTTAAAAAGCAGCAGCAAATAAGCACTCCCAAATTCCACACCCCTACTGGCCGGGCCTGCCTCTGATGTCCACGACAGCATCACAGCTAAGCTCGGTCACCGGGGCCGTGTCTTTGCTCAGAAACAGCAAGGCACATTTTTAACACTAATGACATCAAAATGAATCTTAAAGCCACTGTAAGTAAGGCAGTGTCAGGACGATGCAACAGCAGACATAAGTAGATCAGTGGAGCCAAATGGCCCATCCAGAAACAGCCGCGGGTATACAGACTCTCAGGATATCATCATATGGCCTTTAGGTTCGGTGGGGAAAGAAGTCATTTACTACATGGTGTCAGGACAACCAGCCAAGCTATTTGGAAAATAACACAGTTCCAGAAACCTTAGGGTTCTAAACATTTGTTAAAGTGTGTTTTAATTGTTATTGTTTCAGATGAAAAGATGAGAAATATGCATCTGTTTGTACATTTGCAGGAAGTATCTGAGGATACGGCAAGAACTCAGAGCCATAAAGGAAAAGACTGACTTGCCTAACCTCATGAACCTGTTGGAAACAGAAGACAAATGGTACACTAGGAGAAAGCGGTGGCAACATGTAAGACAGAAAGCTTGTGTCCGTAATATATAAAAAGCTTCTGCAAATCAATAAGGAAAACGCAAACTACCCAGAGGACAGATGAGCAAGGAATATAGACGGGCAGCTTGCTTGTATGTTAAAAGGAAATATATAAGGAGCAGTTGGAAGCCCCTGGAAAGAACAGTAGAAGGACCGGCTGAGCTTGACAGTGATCACCTGGAGTGACCTCCAAGAGGCCTCCCCCCTCACAGGTGATTGTAGCATGACAAATTAAGGCAGGATATAGCATTTTGTTGTGATCTGGGTGAAAAATGCAAATGATGTGTAATTCTTCTTCCACAGTGTAGAGAAGGGGCAGGCATCCGCTGTTGGTCGTAGTGTTGGTGTGTTTTTGGAGGCCAGTGAGGCAATGTTGATTAAAACGGTAAATGCCTATGCCATTTGACCAAACAATTCCACTTTTAGGAATCTCTTCTACAGAGCTACTTCCATGAGTGTATAAGGCTGTAGCTGCAGGGATACACATGGTACCATTGCTAGCAACAGCAGCAAATGGGGAACAGCATAAATGTCCATGGGTTTGGGGCCGGCTGCCTACATCCCAGTAAGTACGTCCATGTGACACAGACCAATTCTGCTCTTAGACATGGTAGAGTAGACCTGTGTTTGCTGACACAGGAAGGTAGTCATGGCTCACTGCTGAGTGAGAAACGCATATATGAAAACATCGGGTAAGAACAGTGTTGTTTTTTATAAAACAAAATATTTTAATTGTATGTACAGACAGAAAATTGTAGAAGAGAGATCATCAAATTCTTTGCAGGAAGACATCTTAGAGGAAAGAGTTGAGAATTGCTTTGGTATGTGGGCCTGTGTGTGTGTGAGTTGGGGAGAATTGCTTTGTGGGTCTGTGTGAGTGTGTCTGTGTGTGGTGTTGCTTTTCAGTATTATTCAACTCTTATAAAAATGTCTATTTATTTTATAATGAAGAAATAGCACTTTGAAAATATAATCCATGATTCTGTTTTAAAATCATATATATATATATATGTCCATGTTGTAACATTTTTTAAAAAGACCGTCTGCAGAGCAAGATGCTACAGTGATTATCTCAGCACGAGGAAATCACAGTTTGTTTGTGTGTGTTGAACTGTGTATTCTCCATTTTTGCAGTGGAAATGCATTTACTGGGTGAAGAGGAAGGTCCCTGACTCAGAAGACAGTGTGGGCCCACACATCTGACCACGTGATTTGTGTCATGTGCTTGACCAGCTGTTCCTCAGCTTTCCCCCTCCACTTGCAGGGCAGCTGAGCACGAGTCCCAGGTGAGGTCATGCTGGCAGCCAAGGCAGCCTCTCATCAGATGGCACACTGACATAAGTGCAGTATCACTTCGGGGCCATGAGGCTAAGAGGAGGGGAAAGGGTGAACTGGAAAATCAAGAGGGGCTTCCTGGAGGAGGTGGGAATCAAACTGCATCAGCTAGAGCTGGGCAGGACATAGAGAGCATTACTTAAGTAAAACACGCACCTGGACTCCAGGGAAGAGCAGAGGAGGGCCCAGGCAGTGTGGCCCCTGTAAGATGAGTCCAGGGGACTGGAGGGCCAGGCTGGGAGAGGGAAGACCCCTTTGCCATGAGCACAGGTGTTGTGCAACCAGTTCTTAGTGACGTTTCAGACGGTGACCAGTCACGGGACAGCAGGACGTGGTGGTCTTCTGACCTCTGCCACAGGGGACCCGGTGGGGCCAGCCCCTGGCCACATGTGCTGGAGCCTTCACGAGTGCCCAGCACCTACTGCCCTGGGCCAGGCTGTCTTTCACATCAGCTCCTTGGTCCAGGAAGCATCTGAGAGGCCCTGCAGACCCGGCTGAGGAGGCCGAAAGCAGCCCCAGGTCCCAGGTGCGGGCGCGCTCCGTGTGGAGCGGTCTCCAAGGCCAGGCCTGCAGCGCCCTGGGGACCTGCAGAACAGAGGACGGATGGGCACAGCGGCCCGGCGGAGCAGGCCGGAGCCCGGCTCGAGGGAAGCTTGCCTTCTCGTCTGGCATCCCCGTGTTTTACATAATTAGGTAAGTCACTTAATGTCGCTGTGTCTTGTTAGAGAAGCTACTAATCCTTAGAGCTAACAGAACTAACTAATTAGTGTAGAACACTTGGAAAATATAAGAAATTCAGATGTGGAGTGTGATTTCCCGGCCCTCCCGGCATTGCCGCTCACCCAGTGTCCCTGGCAGAGCCTCGAGCCTGGCTGCATCCAGGAGGGAGGGGTGTCGGAGGCGGCGGCATAAGAGACGTACGTGTCCCGAAGCCCCAGGGCTACTGGCCACACACCCTGCCCTGCTTGGCCGGCTGAAGGCCACGTGGGGACAACAGAAGGGAACTAGCCAGGGGCCACCTGCCTTGCAAACCCGGGACCTTGAGGCAGGGGCAGCCAGGTCCCAGGGAGGGAGGCTGTGGGCGCAGAGCCTGTCGGAGCCACAGGGAGGTGCTGAGATGGCCTGAGGGCTGGAGCTTCCCCCTGGGAGTATCTGGGCTTCCACCGACTGGTAGTGGCCAAGGTCAGTGGAGTCGAGTGTGGCCAGTCCCGGGTTTGGCTCTGGACACTGCCCGTGACTGCCCATGCCTCAGCAAACCTGCTTTGCCCTCCACCTTCTCTTCTCTGAAATGGAGCTAATGACGTCACCTCACGGCTCCTCCCAAAGGTAAAGACAGGATTGCGGGGCACCTGGCACCGAGCCTGGCGGCTGGCACTCGCTGCTGTCTTCCTCCATGAAGGAGAATCACGGAACTTCCTCCGCAGTTGGTGAGCCGCTCAGAAAGGACATCCAAATACGAGACTCGCCTCACTCCGAGCTCCGGCGGTGCCTGCAGCTACCCGTAGGGTGTGCTTTTCCTCTAGTATTATCGGAAAAAGATAGACGATCAAGAGTTCACTTCCCAAGGATGTATGGAGCTGTCGACAAATCATTAATCTCTCTTCAAACCACGGTGACAATATTTACATTTAAGATCAAGATGATGATTATCTGAAGAACTCCCCTGGAAGCTCTCCTCACAACTGGAAAGGCGCAGCAGCCGGTTAGCAGAGCCACGTCCCGGGCCAGAATAACTGCCTGACGGTCCGCGGGGCCGGGAGTCTGCAGGGCGTCAGCGTGGGGAGGGGAGCGTTCCAGCAGAGGCGGGGGGCTGCGGTTGGCAAAGCAGATCGAGCCAGTCAGGGCACAGCGTTCGGGTCCAACCTTGCAGGAATGTGTTCTGACTAACTAGCTGGAGAAAGGCATTTCTGAAAAGAACTGTTTTAATTTATTTAAAAAAGAATGTGTGGGCCAGGCACAGTGGCTCATGCCTGTGATGCCAGCCCTTTGGGAGGCTGAGGCAGGTGGATCAACTGAGGTCAGGACTTTGAGACCAGCCTGGCCAACGTGGTGAAACCCCGTTACTACTAAAAATACAAAACATTAGCCAGGCGTGGTGACGTGCGCCTCTGTTCTCAGCTCCTCAGGAGGCTGAGGCAGGAGAATCGTTTAAACCCAGGAGGTGGAGGTTGCCGTGAGCTGAGGTTGCACTAATGCACTCCAGCTTGGGAGACCGGGTGAGACTTCTGTTTCAAAGAAGGAAAAAAAAAGAAAACAGAATTTGTACCCAAATGGTACAGAAAACAACTAAGTCACAACAGAAGTGAAAAGCCAGGTAGTGGGCGCGGCCTGGCCAGGACTTAGTTCCGAGAGGGAAGCTCCATGCCAGCCAGAACCTGGAAGGCGTCCTCTGGAGCGGCTCGTTCAGTCTTTGCCATCCAGCGCCGGGGAGGGTCCCCTAGGAGCCGCTCACTTCAGTCTTTCGTGCTCCTCGTGCTGCCACCACGGCTGAAGGATCAGCCCAGGACTCCCAGGGGGGAGGATCAGTCCTTTCTGAGACTGAACACCTTGGCGCAGCCTCATCAGGCCACTCTCCACATGTTAGTCTCTACGTCTGGGCACTGGCGTCTTTAGCAGGTGTTTTAGGAAACAGGTAACATCACCAACAAAAGCTAACATGTCTACTCTTTATCAGGCACCTCCACATGACGCCGATACCCCCGACGCTCACAGCATTCTGCCAGATACCACGTCTCCCCCACCCAGGACAGGTAAGTGCTTTGCCCCGAATCACCTCACATTTTACCCGGAAGTCTAGACTAGGGCCTGAGGCCATCACCCCAACATTTTGCTGATCCCACTAGGGAAAGACGCCCCTTCCTTATTCTAAAGTCAAGCCAAGATCCCCTACAGATACCCGTGCACACTTAGAGCTCACTCTGGTTAAATGTTCCAAGATGCCAAAGGGTAATGCCTGTCAAATGCGGGAAAGGAGAGGCGGTCTGCGAGTGTCAGGGTGCTGGATGGTCACTTGGTATCACCTGTGGAGCTGACGATGCACCCGCTCTGTTCCTCTCCCGAGCACGTTCCCCTGGAGAAGCTCTGCACGTGTGCACAGGCGCCAGGCTGCGGGAGCGCCATCCCCAGCACAGCTGTTGATGAAAAACTGTAATCAACCCAAACATCTCTATGGAGAAAAACGAGCAACCGCATAGTGTCATGTTCACATGATGAACTACTATGCAGCTGAGAAAATGAACAATTAGAGCCATAAGTTATAGCATGAAGGAAGCTGAGACGTGATGGGCTGTGGGAGATTCCTTGTGGTCGAAGACTAGTTTATAAGTCTCATAGACAAGCCTTAAAGAAAATGTATCCGTTTAAACAAACATACACACACAATTATGCATATACACATATATATGATAAGCTCTTTGAAAAGGTGAGGAAATGATCATAAAAACAGAAACTGTTCCCTCTGGGCAGAGGTGAGGGTCAGACCATCAGAGCAGCAGGAGGTTGATCTGGTTTTGAATTGGTTTATGTGTGCCCTGGAGTCAAATATTATTTTACAGAATATGTTTTAGGTATATTTTATGCGTATTTGCTTTTTTGTATCAGATATTGCACAGGTTTTTAAAACTGTGAGCAGGTCACGTGGCCGCCGTCCAGAACAGCAGTGTGCCGGTTTCAGGTCGTGCTCGGCGCAGAGGGTAACTCGGCAGCGGTGCGTGCTGACCCCTCCAGCCAACTCTAGGCAAACAGGTTGTTCCTCCCGTCTCAGCAGCGGAGCAGAGCTCTAGCTGGCGAAGGATCGAGACTCTGCCAGTGTTGTGGACATCCCCTCGTAGGCCCTGAGATGCCCTGTGCAGAGGTAGAGGGTGACCAGGAGCAGTGGACAGAGCTCAGGCTCGCCTGTCCCAAGAGGAGCCTCAGGTCCTCGTCGGCAAAGAGCGGATCCAGTAGCTCGAGAAGCTCTGCAGCTGCCCCGGGTGCACCCTGTCACTCAGCAAGCCAGCTGCTCCGGACAAGCACTGCTTCTGGAATCCACTTCCCTGTGTGCAGGACCAGATGTGTCAGCAGGTGGCAGGAACAAGCCCAGCCCCACCTCACAGGGGCTTTAGCTGTGGGACCCCTACCTGCAGGGCCTGGGTTTGGGAGAACAAGGCTTTGCCCCAAGAGGATTCGGATCTGCAGCAGAACGGGATGGGCCGCAGCGTATCAGAGACCCCAACACAGGCTTCATGCATGGACCTGGTGCAAAGTGTAAAGCTTATGAAGCATCACTTACCCAATGCCCCCAAGAGACCTTCAGGCCTGGGAGGAAATTCTCAGGAGAGCCCGTGGAAGAAGAGGTACAGCGGAGGGACGCTGCTGCCTGGGAAGGAGCCTCCAGCCCTTCCAAAGGCCACACTTTCTGGCAAACTTCGCCTTAAAAGACCAGCCAGTGTGCGATGATTACTGAGACTGGCGTTTGCTAAAGACTTCCTCAAAAATGAGTTAAGGCTGGACGCAGTGGCTCATGCTTGTAATCCCAGCACTTGGGAAGCCGAAGTGGGTGGAACACCTGAGGTCAGGAATTCCAGACCAGCCTGGCCAACGTGATGAAACCTTACCTTTATGAAAAATACAGAAATCAGCCGGGCGTAGTGGCGGGTGCCTGTAATCCCAGCTACTCAGGAGGCTGAGGCAGGAGAATTGCTGGAATCCAGGAGGTGGAGGTTGCAGTGAGCCAAAATTGTACCATTTTACTCCAGCCTGATCTACAGAGCAAGACTCCATCTCAAAAAAAGAAAATGAGTTAAGTGAACTGGTACCTTCAAGAACAACTGACAGAATTCATTGTCAATGATAAAAACGTGTGTTCTCGAACAAAAATCAGGACTTTTGAAAAAACTGTACTGCCATTATGTGGAGTTTTACAACTTCCTAATACAGTCATCCCTCAGTATTCACAGGGGATTGATCCCAGGATCCCTGGAAGGTACCAGAATCCACAGTTGCTAAGTCCCACGTTGCTAAGGCCCACAGTCCAGCCCTGTGGAACCCACAGACAGTGAGCCAGCCCTTCCTGTTGGAAGTATGGGCTCCACCTCCCTCCAATAATGTCTTTCTGATCCCAGGTTGGTTAAATCCTTGGAAGCAGACCCTGTGGGTGTGGAAGGCTGGTTGTCCTTGAAGACTTTTCTGCTGAGATAGGTGGTGATACTAGCAAATGCAGTTTTAAAAAATATATGTCAAGCAATAAAATGTGTCAACATTTGGAAGATCTGCATGACAGTGAACCCGTTTTTCCAAATGACCAGCACATGATGTGACCAAATCACACACAAGTAAAGACCCTTTCACAGTGCAGGATGCAGCCAAGGGGTTCCAAGACACAGAGGTGCCCCGATGCGCTTTCAGACTCCACACTGAAGCTAGACTGCAAGAAAATCCCACTGGTCAAGGCTGGTTGTAGAATTAAAGAGGAATAGACACCATTTCCCAGAGAAGTCACTAAAATACCCCCTTTCCAACTACATGTCCTTGTGAGGCCAGATGGTCGTCTTCTGCATCAACCAAAAGGACACGTTGCAGCCATTTGTATGAATGTGGGAACTTGGCCATCCCATATTAAGGCAGGTAGTAAGATTTGCATGCATAGAAAACCATGCTGCTCTTCTTACTGATTTATTTTGCTGTGGAAAATACAGTTTTTAAAATTACATTTGCTGCTTGTTAATGGTGTTTTGTTATTTTTAATAAACTAAGTTTTTATTTCTCAGTTTTGTTTTCGAGTATGCTATCAACAGTTGGAAACTACGTATCTGTTATGGACCGCCTCAATATTTGTCAGAATAAAGACGAAGAGAGCACACGTTCTAAAAACGGCAGTGGGGGACATTCATGCTTAAGAATTTCATACCAAAGTTACCTCCAAAGAAAATGATGCTTCACAAAAGAAATCAGCAACAGAGTAAACAGACAACCCACAGAATGTGAGAAAACATTTCCAAATTATGCATCCAACAAATGACTGGTATCCAGAATCTGCAAGGAAATCCAGCAAATCACCAAGAGAAAAACAATCTGATTTAAAAGTCGGCAAAGGACATGAATAGACATTTCTCAAAAGAAGATATACAAATAGCCAAAAAAAAAAAAAATGAAAAAATGCTCAACATTACTATTAGAGAAATGCGCATTAAAACCACAGCGAGATACCACCTGGCCCCTGCAAGAATGGTCATTATTTAAAAGTTAAAAAAAAAATTAAAAAGATGTTGACATCGAGAGAAAAGGGACTGCTTATACACTGCTGGTGGGAAGGTAGATGAGTACAACCGCTGTGGAAAACAGTGTGGAGATTCCCTGAAGAACTAAAAGTAGATCTACCCTTTGATCCAGCAGTCCCACTACTGGGTATCCACCCGAAGGAAAAGAAGTCATTATGTGAAAAAGGTACATGCACACATGTGATTATAGCAGCACAGTTCCCAACTGCAAAGATGTGGGACCAACCTAAGTGCCCATCGACCAATAAGTGAATAAAGAAAACATGGTACGTCTACACCGTGGAATACTACTGAGCTGTTAACAGGAATGATGTAATGTCATTTGTAGCAGCTCGGATGGAGCTGGAAGCCATTACTCTAAACGAAGTGACACAGGAGTGGAAAACTAAAAACCGTACATTCTCACTTGTAAGTGGGAGCTAAGCTCTGATTACACAAAGGCATATAGAGTGATATAAGGGACTTTAGAGACTCAGAATGGGGAGGGGGGAAGGGGACTAAGGTTAAAAAAAGACACATTGGGTACAATGTGTACCACTCAAGCGATGGGTGCACTAAGAACTCAGAACTCACCACTCTGTCATTCATCCATGAAACCAAAACCCATTTGTACCCCAAAAGCTATTGAAATTCAAAAAAAAAATTTTTTTTTAATTAAATGATGCTACATGTTTACTCATGGGAGCTTATTTCTCAGCCACAGTGAAATGCCACAAGCATGCCCTCTCCCAAGTGAACCTTCTGTGAACGTGGCATTTGTAGGCAGCATCCCAGGGTAGGGGTGGTGCCCAATTTATTAGTAAGCTTTATTTGGTAAGTCAGATATGGATCATTTCCAAACCAGCTTATCCTTTTCCATAAAAATTAAAACACCACCACCGAAAAGGAAGGAGGTTTTTTTGAGGAGAGAAGCCGGGCCGCAGGCTGGGGGAGCTGTCAGCATCGTTCATCCTGATGTTCCCTGGGCTGCGGGGAGCAACTGGCAGCTGTTCACCAACGATTCCGTTTTTTTCATTGTGTGTTTCATAAGTGGTTTTTAACCAGACGCCCTTAAAATGTATTATTGTTAGAAAATAAACCAAGAAACAAGGGATAGTAATTTAGTACTAGGAAGTTAATTCTGGAGACCTCCGACCTTTCAGCAGTCATGTGGCTATTGATTATCAATACCGTGAGGTGGCAGCCACCCTAGGCGTGGGGTTCAGTGGATTCCAAACACTTTCTCCCTTATCAGTTGAGTCCCTGAGTACTTGAGCATTAAGACAGCAAATGTCCGGAGTTAACGGCGTGTCACATGGCAGCCGGGTGGACGTGCCAATTTTCTAATGAAGTTGGGTTGTTGGCAAACACACCAGTCGAACATATATTGAAGAAGGTCTTCTTTTGTGTATTTCCAGCACTCTTGAGTGCTTCGAAAGATACCAGTTACATCATTGTCTGAGGGCCAGGCACCAAGGGAGAAGCATCCGTCCCCTGCCAAGACAAACAAGCAAAATCAGAGTTAAAACCAAAATGGGGCTGGGTTTTCTAGGAGGTGTTGGAAGTATTTGTTCCAGTTGTGCTCAATGGAGGAATATTCGGAAGGAAATATTCGGAAGACACAGCCCTGAGCCCTTGTGTCTCTGCAAGAAGAGGCACCGGGATCATTCCTCAATCCCTACTTAGCTTGCGCTCTGTATGGGAGAATCAGTATTATTTTTCTTTACACTGAAGAAAAACAGCCAATGCATTTGGGTCCGAAACCCTGTGTAGTGGAGGGATCCCGCAGGCTTTCAGATCTGACCACATCCATACCTTAGCACACTGCAAGATCCTCACCGACCCTACCCTCTTCCTGCACTCCCCACCAATAATAAATTATGGTTGCCATCTTATATTGATTATTGAAAATGTTATGTCCGTGGGAAGAAAATGCCACTGCTTTAAATATCAACATTACAAGAGATTTAAAAGTTTTTTTTTTTTTTTTTTTTTTTTTACAGAAATGTGTGTGATAAAAATGTTTAAGCAATTGAAAGGAACATGGGTGTGGTGGGCAGAATTATTAAATAACAACAACAACAACAAAATCAATCCTCAGGTCGGCCTGGCCAGATGAGCGTTTCTCGGCTCAGGTAAGTAGTTTAAAGTCAGACACGTCTCATACTGGACTTTTTACAGGAATGGCGAAATTTATAATGAAATTCAACAAGGAAACTGGAAAAACAGCCAAATTGGTGCAGCAAAGTGGTTAATAGGATCATTAGCCTACTCGCTGTATTTTTTTGGACACTGTGTGCCTGTACCGCAGCACTAGAGAGCAGATTGCAAGAACAGGCTGACAGTTAGGAGCTAGCTCAGCAGTGCTGGGTACAAACTGCCATCTTCCTGTGGATTTACAGCTGCCACTTCTGCTACTTCAATTAGTTCTATGGCACACAGATGTTGCTTAAATGTTGCTGCTAATGATACTGCAATAAGCGTAAGATTCATGCCATATTTTGAGGCACGTAAATTTCTCAAGTGGCACAATTAAAGTGGAAATATTAGGTGGTGAGAACTTGGCAGTCTCTCCAACTTGGAAGGCGCACCCGCTATGCAATAATGGGTCAAAAATTCATTCAAGTTTTACTGCTGTTCCGAGTTTTAAAAGACTTTTCACAGTTGAATGCAAAGTAGTAAAAACCAGGGTATTAGGAAATGAGAATGCAGTTCTGTTATTCAGACATGACTTTTAATTTCAAATTGAAATCACATGCTCACTTTTCTGGATATGACCGAAGGGAAAAGGTACAGGCTGAAGAGATTTTGTCTTTAAGGGTAAAAGTCCTGAGTGGAAATGAATTTATAGCCAGGCCAGCCTCAAAATCAGTGCTGCCCACGACTCAGGAAGTGTGGCGATCGCCTCCCACGCAGAGAAGCAGCCCTGTTGTGCCAGAGGCCAAGTTCATGAGCAGCTCTCTCTCCACGCACCCCCAGACAGGGTCCCAAACCAGGCATGGGGAAGTGTGTTGGAACAGGCACACAGGTGCACACACCGTGTGTCCCTCTGAAACAACATATGCACACACACACACACACGCTTGGCTCTGCCTCTTCCACACACATGCACACACACTTGGTCTCAGCCTGTTACACGTTCACATGCACACACGCTCCAGCTCTCCCTCCAACACCTGCCCGCTCACACACGTCTGCACAGTCTCTGCCTCTTACACAGGTAGAGAAAGACAAGTGCGCTTCCAGGAGCCTCGCTTCTGCCTGCGTGGAGTCTCCATTAGAATTTCTCTCCCTCATTTGTCATCCCAGGCACAGTCCCCTGCCTGTCGCCAAATTTTCTTTTCCATGAAAAATCTCTCCTTCGGAGAAGAGTTTCTCCCTGACTGGTTGTCAAATCCGCTTTTGATTTTCTCACACACCGACTTGAAAGGCAGGTGGTCCGGGGCCAAGCAGCGCCCAGTAGGCCTTTCTGCTTCTCCAGTCTTTTGACAGTGTGGGTTGGTCCCCCACCCCCACCCCATTTTAACTTATTGATTTGAACTGTCAAGTAAATGACTCCATTGCACTTAATCAGAATCATAGACTTCTGCCATCCCAATTAGAATTCGAGGCCACGTACCGGAACTCCACATGTGTGGCTCCACTGGAGCGCTGGGCACAGCCCCTGCACCTAGGGCTGGCTATCTGGTGTGATGCTTTGCAGGATGAATCCTGCCCCATGAGCAAAGGCTATCTGCAGTGGGCATCCAGGCTGATGCTGTCCTGTAGGTATTTGCCAAATATTTATTTTCCTCTGAAATGATGCAAACAATTCAGCGAAGCTTTCCCCAGACAAATTCAGGATGCAGAACGGTTGAGCATTCTCAATACCTTTCTGCCTCCCTCTCCCCTCTCCCCTTCTCCCCACCTCACTCCCTCCCTCTTCTTTTCTCTTCTCCTTCCCTCCTCCCCTCTTTTTTACCCTCTCCTGCCCCTCACCTGGTACCTATACCACTTGGATTATTTACAGCAAATCTTACAGATGTCAGTATTGTCTTGCTCTGAAGCCGAAAAGGACAATGAGTTCCCGCTGACCTCGGTACAATGGATCTCGCTGGAGCACAATATGTATTTTATACGGGCAGTGAAAAGCCTACAAGTAATTGAGAGAGAGAGAAATGTCACTGTAGCATTTCTGTTGACACTGCACTCTGCGCGTGGAGGGAAGCCCGGGCGCGGCCGCAGAGAGGAGCAGCCGCGGCCGTGCTGTGTACCCAGGACCCTGTCCTTCAGGAAGGAGGTGGCAGGAGAAATTCAGCTGCTCAGATTTTCCCACTAATGAAATATTCCCGGGACCGAAGGGGCCACACGGAGGCGGCTTCCCATTTGCGCAGGTGCACCCGGACTCCGGGCCCAGCGCTGACGTGGATGTGTTTTCCAGCTCTGTTTATTGGCTTCCATAATGCTTAATGTACTGTTTGTGTATGTTGTCCTTGCACTATATTTTGATGTGCTCTCATATATTTTATTCATCTCTGGCTTTCTAGGAAGGCAAGCTCACAGCAACACTGAGAATAATTATTTGTCACCATCAATCAAGTGTCTACGTGGTAGGCTCCTCGTGGGATGGCCTTGGTTTTAAGCATGAAATGTAACTCTTGCTCTTTGGGGCCATTTCATTCTTTGTTCCTGGGGTCTGCCTGTAGGCTCATCGGGACACTGGAGAGCAGGCATTCCCGTGGCCGCAGGAGAGCTGCAGTACTGGCCAGCCGTTGCCCGGGCCTCCAGAAGCAAGTGGCTAGGGCTCTTTAGCCCTACTTGGGGTTTAAATTGAAAAGGGAGCAGCTCATGATGGTGGAAATTGCAAGCAGAGGCTGCATGAGTTCAGTAACTTGCACACGGCCTCCATTCAGAGCCACAGTGAGCATGTGAAGGACCCTGGGCTGGAGGCCCAGTGCTGACATCAACCATGCAGCCCGCCATCCTGCCCTGGGAGATGGTACAGACCAGGGAAGGGGCCAGTGTGCCAGGGTACAGGCTCCAGTCCTTTCCTGGGCACCAATGCCAAGTCCTCCCTGAGCACAAGGACCTTCCCTGGGTGACTGCAGAAGCAAGGAGGCCTGGCCCACCCTCCCTGCTGGCTTCCCACTACCCACCGCATCATAGCTGCCGCACCCAGAAGTCTGCAGACTCCTAAGTGCAGTATTTGGGCTGTCTTGTTTGCAGTGGATGTTTGAAAGACAGACCAAGAGACCCTTTTCTCTAGTGTTGGCCTTGGGTCTCCAGAGAGCTGTTGTTTCCTGGGTTTCCAGCTCCGTGGAGGCAGAGAGAGACCCCAGGGTGGCCTTTGGAGGAAGGCGAGCCCCCTGGGTTAACCGAGCTTCTGGGGTGGTGCTCCCAGGCTCAGCTCTGTCACCACTGGTCAGAGCCAGAGCGTGTCTTCCAGTGCTCTGCTGAACACAGTGGCGCTGTTTCCAAGCTCAGGTGAAGGGGACATGGAGGTTAAGCAGGGCCGGAAAGACAGAGACATCCTCTTCCCCTGGTAGCAGGTATTTAGCAGATGGGAAAATATTAGCAGATGGGAAATCAGCAGATACACTCAGCTCAAGATGCAAATTTAAAAGCCGCCAGCCTCCTGTACTAAATATTTACACTGAACATCTCTACTTCATCATCCGTATTTTATTTTTGATGAGCCCATATGACTGTTCTTATTACAAAGTCATGTAAAAGTTGAGAAAAGAAAATTTCACCTTTGAAAGCAAATTCATGATGAATTAAATTTCAGCATGAAAATAGGAAAAAAATTTCAAATTTCTCTTGACTTTTGGGCTTGTATCCTGAAAGAGTTAACATATGTTCTTTCATACTTATTAGCATAAATTAAATGGCACACCCCCAAAAATTGTTTTCTTTCCCTCCTAAGTAGTTGATATTAAAGCCTCTATTGTTGAACAGTTTTTAAAAATGCAATTCTAATCCCTTTGTAATAGTTTTCAATACCAAAAAAAGTCACACCTGAGCCCCAGAAAGCCACCCTCTTCACAGGCCACAAGGGCCAGATCCACCACATGGTTTTCGTGGACAGAGCCTTTCTCTCCACATTCAAATCCGACCTGCCGCCTCCATCCGCACAGAAGCTCAGCAGCCCTTTGATGTGCTTCCTCGCTTAGTCCTCCAGAAGCCTGTGAGACCAGGCCTGTTACATCCACTTGACAACAGGGAAAGCCGAGGCTGGGATAGAAGACTCGCCCAGGCCCATAGATCTCGTCATGGGAAGGGCTTGAATCAGCTTTTTGACTCCATGTCTCTCATGCTCTCAGCCGTATCCAGGGATTGAACTGGATGCTTTCAAAGGGACTCTCAATCTATAAAATTCAACAATTGCCATTTTATACGCCAGTGGATTCATTTATTCCTCCAGCAGGCACTTGCGAGTCAGCCATGGGCCAGGCACTGCTCTGGGGTCTGGGGATATAGCCATGAAGCCCTGCTCCAGTGGGGTTTGCCTTCTAGTGGAGAAGATAATGAAGGAGAAAGGCCGTAATCACATTTCACGTCATGGCTCTGCTGTGAAGGCAGTGCAGGCAGTGGGCTTTGGGTCAGACTGGGAAGTGCCTCGTAATCTACTATCTTGCACGTTTGAAGATGGAATCAAGATTTAGAAACAGAAGGCCAAGCTCAGATGACACAAATCTGCCCTTCTCCAGAGGTGCCCTTGATCCCCAGAATGAACGGCCCCTGCCCGCCATCCCAGGGCTTGACCTGCCTGCGTGGACTTTGTCACCCCAATTCAAACTCAGTGTACTCAGTGACATTGCTCTGCTGATTTTTTTTCACACTCAAAAATTGGATGAGAGCACAGAACTTGCCCACGTTTTCACCACAGAAAGACACTACACTGGTGCATGAGGAAGTTACCCAAGTTACAGGCCCTGATTAATTTCACTCTGCTACTTATATTAGAGTGTGGTTACCTTAGCAACTGCAGAGTGGGTTGCTGTGGTGTCTGTGTTCCACAGCCTGAGCTTTGAAAGCCCACAGTGTGGGATGTCGGGAGGGCAGGCACATCTGGCCTGGAAGATGGTGGTGATCCCTCGGGCTTCTCCAGCTCATCGGGGTTCTTGGTTGGCCCAACTGTCCATCGCGGCATCCC